ATAGCATTGGAAGGCAGAAGCTTCCAGTGCTAACCTAGACCGGATTGTATGCCATTCTTGCCGGATGGGAAGTTTGTTGTTTGACATTAAACACCTTGAAACCTGCTTTCTGCTGTTGTATGGTGGTTTGTGTGCAAATCTGCAACCTTTCAGAAGACCGGCTGAGACCAGCCTTTCTCAGAGCTTAGGGAAGGCTTTTGAACTCTTTTGCTTTGACCATCTCCATGACTCTCTGCATCTGCAAAGCAGGGAACTGGACTAGATCTCTCCTCTTAGCAACACTGATTGAAACTGCCCTTGAAGGAAGGAGGAATCCTGCAACATGGGACATTCTACTCCCAGTCCATGGAGCCAATCTAGAAGGATAATATGACTGATGGTATCAAAGGCTGCTGAGAGATCAATGAGGGCCTGGATGGACATACTGCCCCCATTCAAGTGCCACCAAAGGACACAAACAAATGCAATCAGTGCCCTCTCAGTGTTATATCCAGGTGTGAAATCCAACTGAAAAGGGTCCAGATAATCCACTTCATCCAGGGTTGTTTAGAACAGTGGTCGCCAACCAGTGGGCCACGGACTACTGGTGGGCCACAAGAAAATTTTGGTGGTCTGCAGAGAAATGTCCCCAACCCCTCAAAGCAATTAATCCAGGCTGCGCGGGAACACAAGGCTGCACTGCCCACATGGCCCACCCACCCGCTGGCTCCCTTCCTTCAGCTGAGCGCAAAGCCACACAAGCTGGAACTGAAAGCTAAGACCAATGGTGGGGAGGGAAATCTGCCCCAGGGTGGCTTGCTGATGTTGGTGGGAAAGTCAGTCCCATATTCCAGAGCTGCAGTAGTCACAGGACTGGCCTGTGCACTCACCTGCCATGGATGAGCTTTTCCGGGATGACCAAAGGGCCAGTCTTGTGACTACTGCAGCTCTGGAATATGGGACCAGCCTGTGGTGGGGTTGGAAATCTCCGCTTCAGCACTTTGACTCCCAGGGACAGGAGTTCAGCCAAGCTATCTGCAAAATCGTCTCTCTCAAGGAGCACTCGCAGAAGCAGCGTGGGAAACTTCGGCTGGGCTCTTCAGAGATGAGAGTGACTGCAGCTGCTTCTCTCTGCGAGCACTCCTCGAGAGAGACTATTTTGCAGGTAGCTTGGCCGAACTCCTGTCCCTGGGAGTCAAAGCGCTGAAGTGCAAGCGGCACAGGAAACTTTGGCTGGGCTCTCAAGAGACAAGAGTGACTCCAGCTGCTTCTCTCTGTTAACAGGCAGCCAAGATATCTGTAAACTATCGAGCGCTCGAGAGACGATTTTGCAGGTAGCTTGGCCGAACTCCTGTGCAAATGGGAGCACAACGTTGTTGCACCGTGCTAACATGGCGGGGGGGGGGGCTCATCCCCAAAGCACCAGCATTGCTCCAATGGCACAGCCCCGGGGACGTTACCTTTGCCTGCACCTGTCACCAAAGCGCGGCAGCCAGAGAAGCACTCCATCCTCCGCGGCAGTTGAACTTCCAGTGTTGGAGGCAGCGCTGAAAGGGAAGAGGCGGCGTCCAAAGTGGGAAGGAAACCCTCCCTCTGCCGCCGCTGCTGCTTTTGCCCCTCTCTTAAACCCTGCCTGCTCCTGGGTGTCCTGTTTGCAGTCCTGCCCGAGGAAGCATCCCCTGCCCCCCGTTATGTGTCTATTGGGAGTGCCCAAGCCTGGCTTCTGGAGGCCTTTGGGGCACCGGGTGTAAAACCGCATCTGGCAGGCCACTCCTTTGTCTGAAGGGGAGGTTCCTGGTTCCTTGTATCACCATGTTTTTTTTCTCCTATGGACTGTGGAGGAATCAAGAGTTTCACGTATTTGTGGTGTGGGTCCCTGTCAAAAAATCGGAGCCTTTTGCCAAGGCTTCTTGTATTTTATGTTACCAGCCCATTGCAGTCTGATAAATATAATAGTTGGGGTAGAGAGGTTGTTGAGAGAAAAAGAAATTGTAATATAATGGCAAAATAGTTCCATTTTACTATACTGGTTGGAGAGTGGCTTTCCCACCAATGTTAGCAAGTCACCGTCAGTCAAAATTCAAATTAGTGGTCTGCGGGATTTATAATTATGAGTTTGGTGGTTCCTGATGTCCAAAAGGTTGGCGACCCCTGGTTTGGAAGATAGGTGATAACTTAAAAGACAGGATACTTGCAAGCCTAGATAGCACAGCATTCAAACCTTTCTCCAGCCATGTGCTCTGTCCTTTCCTATTTGGCACTAAGAGAGCTCTAGGCCAGAGAGGGGCAACCAGCAGCCTTCCAAATGATACTGAGCAGCAAATCCCATCACACCTGACCATCGCTAAGTAGACCTCATGGCAATGGAGGTACAGGTAGTCCTTGCTTAGCAACCACAATTGGAACTGGCAACACAATTGTTAAGCAATGCGGTTAATAAGTGAGACATCACATGACCCCAACTTGTGATTTTACTGCTGATTTTTCTGCTTGTTGGAAGCCGGCTGTGAAACGCACAAATGGCAATCATGTAACTGCAGGACACCATGAAAGCCACACACGAAGAACAGTTGTAAAGGTACTTTTTGGTGATGTTGTAACTTCAAACAGTTGGTAAACAGTGCAGTCATTAAGTGAAGACTACCTGTACAACAATCACAGCCAGGGAATGTCATCTGTCAGGGTCCAGGAAGAATGTCTTGGAAGATCTTGCCTCTGGAGATGAGATTGGCCTCGATCCTGCTGGCCTTCTGAAAGACCCTGTAAATATGTTTTTGCAAATGGGCATGGGGACCCAGAATATCCTACAGCCAGTTCAGTGGCTGTATTGCATGTTATTGCTGGATGCACTTACCTTGGCTGTAAGTCTTATGAATTTTGCTGGTTTCTATATGATTTTTCATTTTTTTTTTGCATTGCTTTTAGATTGCTGAGTTGTTCAGTTTTATATTATTTTTACTTTGATCTTATTCAAGTTTTCTTAAATCTAGTTCTTGGTAATTTATTTTCAGCTGAGAGTAAATAAAGCAGGTGGGAGGCTACAGACAGAATATGTTAGTTCAGATGTCTATGGAGATTCTCAAGTCATCCAAGTCATATGAGTTCTGACTGGATGGGGGGGGGATCCTTCCATTCCCCCCCCCCACGCAAAGCATCCAGTCAGAACTCATGAAGCTTCTTTGATGAGAAGCAAAACATCTTCTTCCTCAAGGAAACAACATAGTCCAGTTGCCTGTTGAAAAAGTACATTTGAGACATCTTAGTTCAGACAAAATTAATTTGATTTCTTTTCCCTTATAGCTTTAATGATACAGCAGCCCATGACTTGGTATTCATTGTCTTGAGAATATGCTAGAACAGCTTTGGTACACTGTATTTACATCAGAAAAAAAAAAACACATTTGAGAAAATTTTCAACAAAATCCACAGGACAAGAGGTTACAAAGAAACCCTCTTTATTTTCACATTTCAAATACAGTGCATATGTTTAAAAATCACGATTAACTGAATCTGTTCATAAGCATGACAGCTGAAAATCATGAATCACAATCTGTAAAGCAGTTTCTGCAGTATAACAAACTCTGTAGATAATCATTCCAAAACAAGAAAAGGCATAAAATGCACAAAACTTACATCTTTACACCTGTAAAGTTATTTGGGTAACTAATGCTGTTATAAACATGAGGCAAAAACACCCCACCTCCACCGGGTCAGTAGTAAGATAGACCTTACTGCATTTGTCCCAGAAAACATGTGTTTCACAGTCAACACTAAAGCAGAATGCATTTGAACAGCTTCTATACAGGCATATCCAGTATTTCACAACATTACAAGTTAAGAAGGATCACACTCAGTAACAGTAATCTAGGATTCATTCACAAGTTTGACTCTACTACATGAGAACTATTACAAAGCTATTACTACCACTGTATTCAAAGAAAACTAGAAGCCCCTTGAAAAAGGAAAAGATTAGTAATACGGCGTTCTGCTGGAACAAGTCATGGATGCCACTTTCTTTTACAAATAAGAAATACACATAAAATCTTATTATTCAGTTGTCCAGTATATAAATCATTCCTAAAAAGAGAAAACCTGTGAAGGAAAAATATTAGTATAGGTTAGGAAGTTACAAGTATTCAAGTCCACGCATAAGGCGTTTGGGAATGCGCAAAAGTCATTATCTGGAATGGACCATTCCAGAGAAACCCAGAATGTTCTGTTTTCCAGTAAACCATACTGATCCTGGGAGCAGTTATGTGGTTTTCAGACATCAGTCTTCCAAACCAGAAATTGTTCAAATATTATGTTCCAAAAGAAACAGGAACATTGGGGTCCAGATGTGTGGCATGGTCTGTAGGGAAAGAAAGAATATTCTGGGATTCTCTGGGATGGTCAAAATTTGATGAATTTGTTAGTATATAGTGCCACATTAATAAAACTATAGTCAATGGATTTCTAAACAAAAGATTAGCAGTAATCACCCAACTTGATGATAAAGACAGTAGTTGCAGAACTTGATGGATTCTGTGTCAGGGTTTGGTATAAAGAGGTGGATCTCTAAGAACAGCCTTTCTCAACTGGCTGTCTTCTAGATGTGTCAGGTTTACAATTCTCAAACGTTATAATCCCAAAATATCAAGACTGGATAGCTGTGTGTTATCTATGCTAGACATAGACCACTAATTCTACTAAATGTAACTTTAGGATTTGCTGAAAGAAGAGAATCTCAGAGTGCAGCTCTGATTCCAGATATTTTGAGGTACATTTAGTGCCTCTGAGAAGTCAGATGGTAGCATTGCTTGCTATGGTGTAGCAATATAATTTACTTGAATCCAAAAATCTTTATGCCACAAGATGAAACACTAGATCTCAAGCAGCAGGAGATGAAGGGGAAATGAGAAGACTGAATATTTTAACATGAGACACAGGATACTCTAAACACTGTTTCTCAACTTTGGCAACTTTAAGTCATGTGGACTTCAACTCCCAGAATTCCGCAGCCAGCAATACTGGCTAGGGAATTCTGGGAGTTGAAGTCCACATATCTTAAAAGTTGCTAAGGTTGAGAAACTCTGCTCTAGAACTAAACTGAATGGCTGACCTGCAATATGGCACTGTGGATTACCAATAACAATTGGAACACAGTCATATGAGTGGCAAAAGGGCTACACTTACCACTCATAGTGTCACATAGCCCCCATTTTAGCACCTAAAAATAAGCGGGAAAATGCCCTCTTTCATATATACATTATAGGCCCAACCTGAATGACTGGCCTGTAATCCCTGGCCACTTTTGGAGTACAGCCCTCAATACACCATGAAAACCCTAGAAAAGCCTTTAAATGGCCAAAGCAGAATGTTCCTACTTTATGCCATGCTAATCACATACAAGAATTATGCTCCATGGTCCTAAATAGTTTTCTTAGCTCAATAAGAACTCAACAGACAATTTAACATAAATCATCCGTTTCTATTTCTCTCCCTAAAGAAGAAAACAAGCTGCAAAGGGAGAACAAAAATGGAAAAAGTTATCATATTGAAGAAAGAATTGAGTCCTTGGTAGGAGTACATCGGGACCTGAAAGAGCTTCAGTCCCATCCTTAGGAATTTCAGCAAACTGGATGGTTTGATTAACCCTTGTAACAGTTTGGTACAAAGGGCCAATGAATGAAAAATCATGATTGGAAAAATGCCATAAGCATAATTTAAAATTAAGACAACTGCTGAGCAAAAAAATAAAATTCTAACATGGACTAAGTTATGAAAACTCAAAGATCTCCTACAGAAAGATGGGTCTGACACAGTGGTTCCACCTGTAAAAAAAAAGAATCATTTCAAGGTTAAGCACTGGAAAAGTCAGGAATGAATTCCTTTCCCTATAATCTGAAAGGAAAATTATGCAGTTAAATCTTAATTTTCATGTATATAAAATGGGAAATGAAACAAGCTTCATAGAAAAGACCAGTATTATGCATATATATAATTTCACCATACAATTTTATTCTAATTAACAATAATTTCCCTGAAGAAACACATTTTCTGTAGCACCAAATTAAGAGCAGCACCAAACAGCATTCGGCTAGATGATCTGTTTAATGATGATCTGGTTTTGGGGTTCCTGCTTACCAGTTTGCTAGAGTGCATTACAGATTTTCCATTAACAACTTTCTCCCATGAGGAAAGGTTAACACATTGTCTTCTTTTGGTGAGGTGTGTTTTTAAACCAACAGCAAAGGGCAACATTGAGTTTTATCATTTTTTAACCTGACATTCTCAACCAAAGATGAATATGAAATGGGGTAGCACTACTAAAGTTGAGTATGGAAACTGGAATATATGCTTTGAATATCACAGTTAAAAATGATCCTTCCCAACCAGATTTATACCAAAAGATGGCATACATGAGATCCAATATGAATCAATGTTCTGTACATTAGGACCCAAGGCTCATATTAGTAACAAGTTATTAAATATATATGTTACCGCTAGTGTGTGAAAAGCTGGCATTGTATAGAATGCCTAGGAAATCTATAGAAAGTGTGACTTTTTAGGAAGAGTTTTATCAGTTTTATTTTAATAGGCAATATACTTTCCCTAGGAATTGTATATAATATATAGGCATTATGCAGAATGATAAGAACTATTTACATAAAGTATGAAAAGAGTACTGAAAAGGGTTAGGGTTAACTCTAAAACTTTATTGTAAAGACATACAGTATATGAACATGAAAGAAAAAATGCAAAATAAAGTACAGGACTTTCTTACTGAAAAAACAAGAGAAAAAGACCACCATTGACCTACTTGTTGCAACAAGGAAGGCTAGAATGGCATTTTAGTGGTAGTATTTTATACTTTGCCAGTTTGCCTTTTGGAATGGCATAGAATGCCTTTTTTTGGCATTCTATAGATTTCCTAGGCATTCTATAAAATGCCTAATTTCACACATTGATAGTAACATACAGTACTGTGCAAAAGTGTTAGGCAGTTGTGCAAAAATGCTGTAAATTAAGAATGCTTTCAGAAATAGAAGTGTTAATAGTTTATTTTTATCAATTAACAAAATGTAAATTAAATGAACAGAAGAGAAATCCGAATAAAATCTGGTGTGACCACGTTTTGCCTTCAAAGCAGCATCAATTCATCTAGTTCTTGAAGGAATTTGGCAAGGTTCCTTCAAGGTTGTTCCAAACATCTTGGAGAACTAACCACAGATCTTCTGTGGATGTAGGCTACCTCAAATCCTTCTGTCTCTTCATGTAATCCCAAACAGACTCGGTGTTATTGAGATCAGGGCTCTGTGGGGGCCCAAACACATTTCCAGGACTTTGTTTCTTCTTTACACTGAAGGTAGTTCTTAATGACATTGGCTGTATGTTTGGGGCAGTTGTCCTGCTGCAGAATGTGGGGCCAATCACATACCTCCCTGATTGGTATAGCATGATGGATAAGTATTTGCCTGTATTTTTCAACACTGAGGACACCATTGATCCTGACCAAATCTCCAACACCATTTGCAGAAATGCAGCTCCAAACTTTCAAGGAACTTCCACCATGCTTTACTGTTGCCTGCAGACGCTCATTATTGTACCACTCTCCAGCCCTTCAGCAAGCAAACTGCCTCCTGCTACAGCCAAATAGTTCAAATTTTGATTCAGTCCAGAGCACCTGCTGCCATTTTTTGGCACCCCAGTTCCTCTGTTTTCATGCACAGTTGAGCCGCTTAGCCTTGTTTCCACATCAGAGGTATCGCTTTTTGGCCAAAATTCTTCCATGAAGACCACCTCTGGCCAGACTTCTCCAGACAATAGATGGGTGTACCTGGGTCCCACTGGTTTCCATCAGTTCTGCGCTGATGGCACTTGACATCTAACGTCAAAGGGAAGGAAGAATGATGTGTTTTTCATTTGCTGCATTACGTTTCCTTGGCCAACCACTGCATCTACAGTCCCCTCAATGTTACCCATTCCTTTGTGCTTCTTCAAAAGAGTTTGAACAGCACATCTTGAAACCCCAGTCTGCTTTGTCTGGGAGAGACCTTGCTGATGTAGTAGAACCACCTCGTCTTGTTCTTAGTTTTGCCATGGTGTATGACCTGTGACATGAAACTATCATCCACAACCTCACCTTAGTAGCAGAATTTGGTTGTTCCTCACTCAGTTATAAGCCTCCTACCTACACAGCTTCTTCCATTTCAGTTAATGATTGTATTTCAACCTAGTACATATGAAATTGATGATCATTAGCACCCGCTTGGTATAATGGTTCATCATACACCTAACCCTAATCCTACAAAATCCCTGACGTTGTGCAAGTGTAAGAATTGATGCTGCTTTGAAGGCAAAGGGTGGTCACTCCAGATATTGATTTGATTTTCTCTTCTGTTCATTTACTTTCCATTTTGTTAATTCATAAAAATAAACTATTAACACTTCTATTTCTGAAAGCATTCTTAATTTACAACATTTTTGCACAAGTGCCTAACACTTTTGCACAGTACTGTATATAATAAAAATGGGTCACAAATAACCTTACACAAAATCCTTAGGATTTAAAAGTTTTGTAATACATTGCAAATGCAATACTTTGATAAACAGTATGGAACTTTGCTATTTTGTGGTGACCTTAATGCAGGTACACCTCAGCCATGCTACTCAGAGGTATGTTATGGCTTTAAAAGCCAACTGCACTATCTTGGATGCGTTAAAATAATTCTCCAACCCTTCGTTTTGTCCAAAATGGCAGCTGCAAAATAAAGCTTAGAAGACAGTGAGAAAGTTTATAAGCAGGCAATCAAAGAAAAAAACGAACAAACAAGAACCATTCCCCATCTATATGAATGTTAGACTGACATCCTAGTTAATGAAAAGAATGGCTGTGATACTAAGAGTCTACTCTGGAAAGATGAATAAGAAAACAAATGTTATTAGTTTTCCTAATACTAGGGAATGCCCATAAAAGGTTCTAAGTAGTAACACCAAATAAAGCTATACAAAATTCATGAATACAATCATGAAAACTAAAATAGGAGTTTATCCTATCCAAATAAATACTTAGAATAAGTGAACTAACATCTAAGATAAATTCCATAGATGGTGTAGTTAATTTGACTTCCTGATGTCAGCTAAAAGTTACTGCAAGATTAATATCAAGATCCATTAAGTTGCCAAAACTCATTCGAATCAACTATGAAGTATCACTTCTTTCTTTGAAAAGTGTCACCACAAGGTAACATTGCTTCTTCATTTCTTCTGTGTTCAGTGTGAGCCCTCTTGGTAATGAAATATTGACTATACCATTTAAAGTCAGCCGCTGAAAAGGAATACAGCAATCCCTTAGTTTCATCATTTGGGCCACATTTGGAAAAACAAGAAACCATGGAAGAATGAAGGAGAAATGTCATCTTATGTTAGCATTTTCCTATAAAGCTGATCAACTCACTCTAATTTGATATATGTAAGCCTTCACTGATATACTGTATAACTCACACTAGGTCTCTTCAATAGTGGTTTATATTCTTGCCACATAATTCATACCAGCACATAGAGCAGGGGTGTCAAACTCAAGGCCCGCGGGCTGGATCCGGACTGGAAATATCAAAAGACCAGCCTGTAGTGCCTCTGCTGGCCAAAATGGGCTGCAGTGGGGCTTTGTGTGGCCTGTGCAGGTGGTTTTTGGCCTCCATGGCCTCCTGCAGCATTCTGCTGCCTGAAAATGGGTCGTGGGGGCCCTCGTGAGCCCCCCACAGCCCGTTTTGGCCGGCAGAGTACTGCAGGAGGTTGTGGAGGCTGAAAACCACCCATGCGGGGGCTTGTGAGACCTTCCTGTGGCCCGTTTTGGCTGGCAGAGTGCTGCATAAACAGATTTCAGGGTTATCCCATAAAAATAATGTCCAGTTCCAGAATTCCAGGTGATTCCCACCTGGGACCTTCATAAAGGGGGGAGGGGGCAGAGGTGGGCCCTGTAGTCTTCCATAGCCCAAGGCCATGGAGACAAGGTGGACCCTCCCAAAATTACATTCTGGCACCTCCCTTAAAGTAGGAATGGAAGACAACAAAGCCTACTAGAGGTCTTGGGGGGGAGAGGTACATTTTTTTTCTTTTTTTCAGCTAAAAGTCCACCAGGGGTTTCCAGCCACTAATAAATAGTGACTAAATTATTAGACCAGAGAAATGCTATGGACATAACAGGGGTGGGATTCTACTGGTTCGGACCAGTTCTATAGAACCAGTTGTTACGATTCTGTGCAGTTCGGAGAACTGGTAAATCGTGCCCTCTGGCTGGCCCTGCCCCTCTCTGCCTGCCCCTCCCCTCCCCGCCCAGTCAGTCCTTATCACACATGCATGACATCGCATGCATGCCCGACATGCTGACCGCATTCTCCCCCGCCTAGTCACTCCTTAAGGTATTTTTTCCACCCTCCCAATGATCAGCTGTTCCAACAATCAGCTGTGCCGGGATCCCCCTAGCTGTCTTACTGCTTCACCCAGGAGGCTTCCATGAGGCCCAGGAGGCAAAAAGGGGCACATGGGGGGGAGCTGCATGCCCCCCTGCACTCCGTTTTTTGCCTTCCTGGGCCTCAGGGAAGCCTCCTGGGAGAAAAAAACGCCCCCACAGGAGGCTTCCCTGAGGCCCAGGAGGCCAAAAAATGGAGCACGGGGGGGCGGGTGCTGAAAAAAAATCCACGCCCACCTAGCCACTCCCACCTAGCCATGCCCACAGAACCAGTAGTAAAAATATTTGCATTCCACCCCTGGGACATAATATACTTATAATATACTGTAAATTATTACTAATATTAAGTCTTCCTCTAGGGCTTTGTCAGAGGTAGTAACAAAAATTGATAGACTGTTGGACAGACAGTTTTTAGAGACATCTGGATAAATTGTCAGTTCATTTATGCTCTGCTCCATACAAAAGTCAATCCCCATAGCAGCTGGGGACTCTACATGTCTTTAAACTCTACATTATGGAATTGAGAATATTTGTGCCAGAAAGTAAATCTCCCTTTGTCTGGAATAGATGTTTTGAATGCAAAGGGGAAAAATGCATCTTTGAGCCTGTGTCAAACGCCCACCATGATCACCCCCACCCATGCCCCACCACCAGCCCTCCAAGGTCAAACACAACCCTGATGCGGCCCTCAATGAAATTTGACACCCCTGACCTAGAGGCTATCTACTTGGTCAATAGTGGTTCAATTGTTCAGTCAGTCTACTTTGATACAAACTACAAATAGTTGGTACATCCATCTCTATACACTCTAGCTATTTTTGTAGCTTTTAATGTCCTAGCAATATCTAATAATTAAAAATTTGACTTCCAATGAACATCTCTCCTTTATGACCAATATTTCAGAACAACTTTTGAAAATTCGAAGAACACAATAGGGATGATTTTCTGTAATCTTCTCATGATAGGTGAGCCAAGAGTAAATCACCCTCATTTTAGCCTGGATAAAAACACCATTATGCAGATTATCTTTAATTTCTTATGAAATTAAAATTATCCAACTTTGTCCAAAATGAATGTGAAAAATACATGAATTAATGAATACTACAGTGGTCATTTAACTTTGAACTATATAGCCATTAATACTTCAGCATCCAGACATAACTTGACTACACTTTTTTATTGGTATGGGTATGAAAACTAAAGTGACCTAGAAAATGTTGCCAAATTAAATGAAAATTATCTCTATACTAGAAAAAAGTTTGCACATACAGTGGTCACTGGCTAAACATCTATACCAAATGTATACTTTTGAAGTTCCAGAACAAATAATACACAGGTCAAGAGACATGTATTGACTTACTGGCATCTTTATAAAAAACGGAAGAGTTACACCAAAAATAATAACAACAGCAACATTTATAGAACCATTTCCATTCAACTCTGATAAGACAATACAACTGCCTTCCTCCCCATCCCACCAAATAAGCTTTCATGTGAACAGCTTCATCTAAATTTTGTTAAAGTCTCATATTTACACAATACATTAAATGCAATGCCTGCATTTTGCATCTTTAAAAGAACACATGATAAAGAACAAGATAATGGTTGCACCAGATCTTCTACAAAAGATTTGGAGATAGGGTCAGGAAGCATTATGCAAAGAACAGGGTATCCTATTTTTACTGTGATTTGCTTTTGTGGAAGGCACCTCAAAATTGGGAACCAACATTACTATAAACATGCCAATCTCAGTTCTAATTTCGCATTAATCAGTCAAGGTATTGTAATGTCTAAAGACAATTCAAGCAACAGATTTTGGTGCCTATCACCCATACTACAGGTTTCTTTCTGCTCACTACAAAGAGAGACAGAGAAAAAAAATCACAAGTCGTCTTCTTTCTCTTTCCCATAGCTGAGAAACTCCTCTACCAAAATGGTGAGCATATTATACACCTACTAGGCATTTGCCATCATGTGCAAGAAATGGGCCTCAGACAAATCATACAAAAGTCCACACCATTATTTTAAATGCCATACCATAGATTTCCTATATATGGAAGTTGTAAACCTTAAAGCATTACATTAATGCTCCCAGTCTTCACTTAAGCCTAATCAAAGACCTGCTGACATAATAAATAAAAGTTTCCTCAGACCTCAAATGTGATGTAGAGGTGGGACATTATAAAATCCCCTCTTCTGGCAGGCATTGTTGCATTTAATCCTGCCAAAGTGATGCAGCCTTGCTAATGACTGAGCCCAGCTCTTTACTGCATAGTGAATTCAGTTTCAACCTACTCTGTTTTCAGAACTATCTGGGTATCGTGCTTGTTTGTTATGGACAAACTGTACCTGAGCTGTATGGTGAAGACATATTTTTTTAAAAATATTACTTTACATGTTAAGTCTTAAAGCACAATCTTAGTTTTGTGGAAAGACTGTAACATGTCCTGAGATGGGCAAAGGTATGATAGTCTCTCTCTTTTGACCCTGAGGGACTGTTTTAACACAATTCTAAGCAGAGAAAAGCTAGCCTAAATTGCACCAGAAACTAAAATCCCAGGTTTTTTTAACAAATACAAATTAAGAGATATAAACAATAAAGGACAGCAAAACTCACCTCTATGGCATGGTCAAATTCAAGGTAGGATACTCCGCAAGATGAAGACTTTTTCTAGCTAGTTGATAAAATGTCTTTAACATATCTTCATACCCTACATTATACCAAAGATGCTATAGCCATGGTACCAAACAAACCAGCTTTGCCTTTAGAAGACATGATGTATTTTTATATCTTAATTGCTTATAGCTGATTCCCATAACTTCTCTTTAACTGGGAACAGTTTTAAAAGCCTTCGTCTGTTCAGAATATTTTGAATAATTAGAAAAGAAACATCACTACTTCTCAATGTCATATAACCTGCAGTCCTGAGAGAACATTCTTTGACTATTTTTCTATATGCTTAAACTCACTAAGTTATAATCCTTATTAGCTCTGTGTTTATTGGCCTCAAATATATAAACATTGAATAGATTTCTAAGATTAGTAAAAGGAGTTCTCTCTTCTCACTAACCAAAGGAAGCAGGGAACGGTGTCACAAGCACCTTTCTTTGGAGTTTTGAAAGAGTTTATTTAGTATAAAAGCAGAACTTCCATAAAGTCTGCATATATTTTCAGAACAGCCCACATCTCACACAAAAAATATTCTCGTAATTCACCAGGTGATGTGGGAACAGTGCTAGAGTATGATTTGGCAGATACTACTGTTATCAAGCATTGCTGCCAATTATTACACAAAAAATAAATTAAAATATGAAGCTCAACACCAGTGACTCATTTCCCAACAAGCCTAATCAAAATGGATCTCCTGGACATGAATATGTAAACATTCTCACCACCAACAGCTTTCAGATAGTTCCTGGCCATTCAAGCACTCTAAGAAAACACAAGAGAAGACTAAAAGATGTGTCGATCCAAGATTCTGGAGTCTGAACACAAGCATCCTTCATACATCAAACTGGTGAGACTATTTGTTCAAAATAGGGTTGGTAAGAAATAAAGCTGGGAACACCAAGAGGGACTTTTATGCGCAACAAACTACAGGTAGTCCTTGAGTTACGACCACAATTGAGGCCAAAATTAATATTGTTAAGTGAAACATTTGTTAAGTGGGTTTGCCCCATTTTACAACTTTTCTTGCCATAGTTGTTAAGTGAATCATTGCATTTGTTAAGTTAATAAAATGTTTGTTAAGTGAATCTGGATTCCCCATTGACTTTGCTTGTCAGAAGGTCACAAAAGCTGATCACGTTAGCCCAGGACGCTGTAACCATCATAAATATGAACCACTTACTAAACATCTGAATTTTGATCATGTGACCATGGAGCTGCTGCAAGGTCATAAATGTGAAAAATGGTCATAAGTCACTTTTTTTCAGTGCTGTTGTAACTTTGAATGGTTATTTAATGAGCTGTTGTAAGTCGAGGACTACCTGTACATTCACCTTACTAGGAATAAGAGCTTTCAAGAATGAGCTTCAGAGCCTCTTAGAAAAAAACAAAAACAAAAAAACCCCACAAATTACATAGATCAACTTTTATTCTATATTATAGGCATCTATACGCTTAGCTACAAACAGTAGATTATGGGTGTATTCTGATTTCAACACCTCAAACTGAAGATAAGGGCAACGATTATCAAATATTCTTTTCTAAGAAAAAACATAAAAAACTTTTCAAGAGTCAATGTTCTTTTGTTCCAAGTCATTGCGATCACATAGTAATTGCCTGAAAACATCCGTGTACTCATACATGAGATTCATACATGAGATCTGTAGTTATGTTCAATACAGATCTTTTTCAATCTTGAAATCAAGCTTCATTTGTAGCAAGGTTGTTGCTGTCAGCAGCTGTCACAAAATAATTTGAAGTTTCAGGAGGAGTCTGCAAAGCTGGCACCAGAAATTACAGGAAGATTCTACCCTTCTGACTTCCTCCATAACTTGCTTTATTTTAAGACAACTTATGCTCAGTGGGTCAATCCACTATCAGTGCCACATTGATATGGGAGAGATCTATCATGTGCCTGGAAAAAAGATGAATGCACAATGATGTAAGGCAGCTGTATTTTTTTAATGCATTAAGGAACTTGTTTAGCTACATGCTCTCACGCAATTTCAGGCTTGGTTCAGGTGCAGCCATGTTTCATAAGTAAGTGGTTCAAACTACACTGTGTGCACAATTATTAGGCAAGTTATATTTTGGAGGATAACAACTACAGTGCTCTCAGTCAACCCAAAATGTTAAGAAACTGCAAACCTGAATGTTTAAGAAAGTAAAAGTGAGGTTTTGGCTTTCTTAGGAGAATATCTATGTGTGCACAATTATTGGGCAATTAGTAGTATGCAGAATTATTATGCAACTAAATGAAAAATGAAATTTTTCCCATCTCACTCATTTATTTTTAATCTGTTAAAGTGAGAATAATAAACAAACACCTAAAAATTTACAAATAAACATTTCTGACATTTCAAAAAAAAAAAATCAGTGACCAATATAGCCACCCTTCTTTTCAATAACAGTCATAAGCCTTCCATTCATGGAGTCTGTCAGTTTCTTAATCTGCTAACGATCAACTGTTTGTGCAGCAGCAACCACAGCCTCCCAGACCTATTCAGAGAGGTGTGCTGTTTTCCTTCACCGTAAATCTCCCGTTGAAGAAGGGCCAACAAGTTCTCAATAGGGTGTAGGTCAGGTGAGGAAGGGGGCCATGTCATTACTCTTTCTTCCTTACTGGCTAGCCATGCAGAAGAGTACTTCGATGCATGTAACGGAGAATTGTCCTGCATAAAAATCATGGTCTTCTTGAAAGATGCAGACTTTTTCCTGTACCACTGCTTAAATAAAGTGTCTTCTAAAAACTGGCAGTAGGTTTGGGAGTTGATTTTGAGTCCACCTTCAACCGGAAAAGGTCCAACTAGCTCATTGTTAATAATACCAGCCCATACCAGTACCCCACCTCCACCTTGCTGGCATCTGAGTCTTAGTGGAGCTCTGTGCCAGTTAATGATCCAGTCACAGGCCCATCCATCTGGTCCATCAAGAGTCACTCTCATCTCATCAGTCCATAACACCTCTGAAAAATCTGTCTTCAGATATTTCTTGGCCCAGTCTTGCTATTTCAACTTATATGTCTTGTTCAGTGGTGATTGGGTTTCAACCTTCCTTACCTTGGCCATGCCTCTGAGCACTGAACACCTTGTACTTTTGGGCACTCCAGGTAGGTTGCAGTTCTGGAATATGACAGCACTGGAGAATAATGGGTTCCTGGTAGCTTCATGTTTGATTCTTCTCAAATCTTTGGCAGTTAATGTGCATCTTTTTTTCTCAACATTTTTCTTGCAACACTGTTGACTATTTGCAATATTAGCAATTTCAAGAGTGCTGCATCTCTCTGAAAGACTTTTTACAATTTTTGACTTTTCAGAGTCAATTAAATCTTTTTGGCCCATCTGGCCTGAGGAAAAGGAGCTGCCTAATAATTATGCACACCTTGATATAGGGTGTTGATCTCATTCGGCCACACCCTCCTTCATTACACAAATACACATCACCTGATATGCTTATATCCAGTAAGCATTCATGTATATACAGCTTGGAGGTAGAAAATATGCATAAATGATATGGTCAAAATGCTCACTTGCCTAATAATTGTGCACACAGTGTATGAAAAGACTGGATTGTTTCATTGACAGATTTATTTGTTCATTCATTTATTAAATTTATGCCGCCCATCTCACTATCCAAAGTGACTCTGGGTGGCTTACAATGCAATAAAAATAGATCTGTAAGTCAACTATAAATATAGGAACGGTTAAAATTACAAGAATAGACTAAAAACCCCAAGGGCTCACATGGAGGGGGGGGTGCCCTCTTCTGTCACTGCACCAGCCTAAAGTGTCTCTAACAGGGCCCCACGCCAACCAGCAGAGCCAGATCTTAAGGCCCTTTCAGAAGGCCAAAAGGGTGGGGGTGGCCCTCACCTCTGGCAGCAGGATGTTCCAAAGTGTGGGGGCCATGACTTAAAGGCTCTTCTCCCAGTCCCCACCAGCTGAAATTCCTTGGCTGATGAAGTTCATAGTAGGCCTCTTCTGCCAGAATGTGTGGGGCGGGCGAGTCCCATTGGGGCAAGACAGTTCTTCAAATATCCTGGACCCAGTTTAGTCAAGCCCCTAACTTTTTCACTGAGACATTGGCTTGTAAAACTATAGCATCCAGAATTTAAATCCACTTTACATTCTGCTTACAAATCATGATACAAAACATAATTTGATATGCATTGTATACTGTACATACAATGACATTTATTCTTGATGCCATGGTAAAGTGTAGCTTAAAGACAGACATCAATGTTGAAAAAAAGTGTCTTGTGACATTTAAAAACAAAAATTGAACACATGGGTACAAGGCTTGCTTTCAGCCTGATCAACTGTCACTACTACAGCCGAATCAGCTCTAAGTTAAACAGAATCTCAAGAAGATAAAAGGTCTTTTTAAAGTGAATTGGTTGAAAAGAATTTATAGTTTTCCCAATCGCTGTATTGAACTTTTGTCTTTTTCACTAGATTGGTTAGGGACAATGGGATTGTAATAAAAGACATCTAACACTGAGAAATGTTGAGGAAGTGTAAAATAGTTCATATATGAGAAAACCTATGTACTATACCTGTGAAACTTCTGTTGAAATTTTAAAGCATCAGCAGGCTCTTTAAATTTTGCAATGGCCTTTCGTTGTTGAGGCAACATCTGTAAACTCTATAGAAGACAAAAAAGGAAAAGAAAAATGCTCTTTAAACATCAGTGTTTGGAATAATTTCTTCTTGCTGACTGTTGAAAAAAGTTGAGTTGAAGTACAAGTCACGAGGCTAGTACTTAATCAATCCATCTGAATGCAGAATCTGATGTCCATGTGCTCACAAAGGTACTACGAGAAATTCTACCACATTTTCACAAACCTCAATGATCACTACAAATTCATATTTAAAACAACTAAAAGGGTCTCAAAAAATATCAAAATTCATTCTGAGGCTGTATTGAGTGGAGTGTTGAAGAGAGCTTTGAAAATGCTGCTTCAAAAATCACCTTAATTTTTTACCCTTCCCTTGGATGCTGCTCATTAAAACTTTTCAGTTTTCCATATATCCATTAACTTGCTTATATGAGTTAAAATGGAAACAAAAAGTGGGGGAGTGGGGGAAAAGACCAAGGAACACGTGAGAAAATGATGAAAACATTCAAAGTAGGCCTAACACGGGGGTATCAAACTCAAGTCGTCATGTCGTCGTCATATGATGTATCAGAACGTTTTTCCTCTTTGCTAAACTGGGGTGGGCGTGGCCAGCATGTGGCTCATACAACCCATGGGCCGCAAGTTTGACACCACTGCCCTAACAGAACCAAGTTGAAATACCTGCAGATCATTCTCAAGTTATTTCAAGATGACAATTGAAAGTTGAATTCATGATTTGAACAACAGCTGTACCTCTTCTGTGTTTTTGATGTAGGAAATGTCTACAAATCTTCTAGATGAGTACACAAAAACGTGCATGTAGAACTGGGTTTCTTGCATTCACAGAGCTCATAGTTTCCCTTAGCATGCTAGAGATTGGTACTGGTGTCCAACATTTCCAGTCATTTGTTAAGGTAACTTGGAACTAATGCTCTCTGGATTTAATTCTAAGGATTTATACATTTTATGATAGATGGATGCAAGAATTAGGATGTCAGAATTCCAGCAAACCTCCATTGAAGGGGGTCATATTTCTAAACAATATGGAGGTATCCTAGAATTTCCCAAATTAGGTAAACTGCAACTGGCCTTGGCAAACAAAAAGAAAAGAGGAATTGCAGTATATATAAAGGAATGGCTGAGACCAAGGCAGATTTACAGAGATGATGATAGAAGAATGCTACTGGTAGAAATAACCTAACATCAAAAGAAAGTATTGTTGGCAATAATCTATGCACCAAATGCAAATCAAAAGGAATTTTATTGTAAATTTCACAGAAAAATAATTGAAATTTCACAGGAAAACGTGTGTGTAATAGGGGATTACAATGCAGTGTCTGATATAGAAAAAGACTATATAAGTAGTAAAAATAAATAAAAAGAAGAGGAGAACACTCCCAATCACATTTAACAGAATGGCACAAGAACTGAACCTAAAAGTTATTTGGAGGGAACTAAACCCACAAGAAAGACAGTATACCATTTTTTCTAACCCCCATAAATCATGGTCGAGAATTGACATGATATGGATGGATTCAGAATTGGGAAAGAACATTGAGGAGATAGATATTATGCCAAACACTTGGGCTGACCACAACCCTATAAAAATGAAATGGAAAGAAAAGAGAAGAATTGGGAGATGGACTATTAACAAAAGCCTACTAAAAGAAAAAGAATACACCCAAATGCTGGAAAAAGAATTAAAAGTATTTTTAGATCAATTTGAGAGAGCAAACAACATTACAAAATTTGTGGGACACAACAAAAGCTTACATAAGGGGCCTAACTATAGCTTATGCAGCAAAAAGAAATAAGGAAAGGAAGAAACAACCGATGATATGGCAGGAGAAACTGAAGGAACTGGAAGTCAAAATGCAGAAAGACCCCCACAATGAGGAAATTAGAAGAGAAAGAGATATAGTGAAACACGAAATGAATATAAGGTTACAAGAGTAAATGTCCCTAAAACTCAAATTGGTGAAGCAAAATTATTTCGAGAATGCAAACAAGCCAGGGAGGTGGCTGGCACATAAATTGAAAAAGGAACAAAAAAATAATAATAATACATCTACTGCAAGATGAGAATGGGAGTCCCTGCTACCAGATGGCTAAGAAGAAAATTATAGCCCAAAAGTTCTTCTCTAGTCTTTATACCCAGGAAGAAATCCCAGAAGACATTATACAATATCTAAAAAATAGGGATCTACCTATAATATCAGACACTGTAAGGGAAATGTTGAACAATAAAATTACCATGAAAGAATTGAAAGATGCAATTGGAAAACAAAAAACCAACAAAACCCCGGGCCCAGATGGAATTCCAGCAGAGTTTTACAAAGAAATCCAGAACCCACTAGAAGAAATAATGCTAGATCTGTACAATGAGGCACTTGGGCAGGCAAAAATACCAAAGACATGGACAGGGGCCCTTATAACACTTATTCTGAAGAAACATACAGATCTTCAGCAAATTAGAAATTACAGACGGATCTCCCTCTTAAATGTAGACTATAAGATCATGGCCCCAATAGTGTCTGAAAGATTAAAAACAATACTACGCGAAGTTATTCATCCCGACCAGAATGGATTCCTCCCAAACAGACAGATAAAAGACAATACAAGGTTGATTATGGATGTCTTAGAATACTACAAGACCCACTCAGAGAAACCAATGGCATTGATATTTCTGGACACGCAGAAAGCATTTGATAATTTGAATTGGCAATTCCTCATAAAACAATTGAGTATGATGCAATTTGGTGAAAAATTTGTAGGGTTTATTAAAACACTATATAATACACAAACTGCAAAAGTGATATTGAATGGAGAAACAACAGATGATTTGAATATTAATAAAGGAGTAAGACAAGGATGCCCATTAGCATCACTTTTATATATATTATCAGCAGAAGTACTACTGATCCAAATTAGGCAGAATCAGGAAATAAAAGGATTGATTACTAAAAAAGAAGAATACAAAGTCCAAGCTTTTGCAGACAATATGGCATTTCGATCCAATAGAGACAGGTAGTATACTAATTTGTGAAATAGAAGAATTTGGAATGGTAGTAGGATTAAAAATTAAAAAGGAAAAGACAAAAATAATTAAAAATCTTACGAAGAGTCAAAATGAAGAATTGGAACATGAATTAGGGATACAAATAGCAAAAAAAGTAAAGTATTTAGGAGTTTGGCTCACGGCAAAATGCTCTTCCATAAAGGAAGATAATTATGATAAAATAGTATTACAAATACAAAAAGATCTGGATAACTGGGCAAAATACAACTCTCATTATTGGGATGGATAGTGACTGTAAAAATGAGTATACTACCCAAACTCTTATTCTTGTTTCAAATGGTGCCGGTAAAATTGGGGAAATTCTTTTTTGACAATTTGAATAAAAGAATTGCGAAATTTATACGGTTAAGGAAAAAACCCTGAATAAAATTTAAACTTTTACAAGATAGTAGGCACAAAGGAGGATTTGGACTTCTGGACTTTGAACTATATACCAGGTGGCAATTACAACATGGCTTAAAGATTGGATCAACCTTGACAATAAAAGAATATTAGCAATAGAGGGCCATGATCTTCAGTTGGGATGGCATGCATTTCTTTGGGAAGGGAAAAATAGTTGCCATACCTACTTTCAGAGACATCAGGTCAGGGATGTTATACTGTATGTTTGGGACAAAATAAAAAGAAACCACTATGTGAAAATTCCGACCTGGTTGTCAACGATGGAAGCAATGATATACCCGAATGCACTGGATTTAAATAGGATGAATGTCAGCGTTCCAGCAAACCTCCATTCCAACCAGTAACTCCGAGACAAACATATTTCAAAAGTACCTTTATTATAATAGCACCTGGTACATCTGTGGAATCCCGAATCTAAAAGTTTTCAGGCTTTCCACAATTTCCCAAACTACAAATCCATTCCCCCTTGGTTGTCATCACATCACATGGCCCAATCACAATCTGTCCAAAAGTAAGATCCTTATTTCATCCTGCGCCATACTAAATGACCTTGAACTAACAAAAGAATTTTATTTTGTCTACTTAGAGCTTCTTGAAATCACCCCCTCGCACTTTCTCAGGCTGTGTGGCAGCATGGAATATGACTTCCAAAGCTGACAATGATAAAATATAAAGTACTTTTAGATGAGAAAGGGGAACTAAAAACTCAACAGCAATTAAAGGCACAAGGAATGGAAATAGGATGGTGGCCATATCTCCAAATACAAACATGATATAAAAAGGATTGGGAACAATTTGGCTTCTATAGAACTCAACAAGAAGTAGATAAAATTATACAAGGAACTGGGAAACAAATGATGAGCAAAACGTACAATTATTTATTAGAATATAAAATGGAAGAAGAAACAGTAAAAGAAAATATGATAATTTGGGCCAAAAATTTTGGATATGGTATTGATTTGGAACAATGGGAAAAACTATGGCAGGTAAATTACAAATTAACATTGTCAGTTGCATACAAGAACCTTTATAAAATGTTCTACCGCTAGCACATCCCCCCAGCGAGGCTAGCCAAGATGTTTCCCAATATATTGGCAATGTGTTGGAGATGCAATCACAGCCAAAGGACGTATTTTCACATGTGGTGCACCTGTCCCCAAGCCCGGAAGTATTAGCTCAAAATTAAAACATGGTTGGAAGAAATAATGAGACAAAGAATTGAATTAAGACCTGAATTGTTTTTATTAAGTATAATAGGATCAAAAGTTAGTACGAACTTCCAATATATTATACTCCATATAGTAACCGCTGCCAGAATCTCAGTTGCCAAAAACTGGAAACAGGACACTATCCCCTCCGAGACAGCAATAATAAAAAAGACTCGAATACGCTGAAATGGACAGACTAACAATGATAACTCAAGTAAGCCGGGAATCATGGTCTTAGAAGAAGAACTTACTTTGGAAGGGAGAAAGTGTGAATCAGGTATTATGCATCAGTCACACAAGAAGAGCAAGGCATCCAAAAAGAGAAGCCACCTTCTGGTTGGGGACTCAATTGTAAGGGATGTAAATTTAGGAAAGGATACTGAGGTTTTGAAAGAGGTCAGGTGTCTACCAGGTGCTACTGCCAGCAGAGACAAGAAGCGTATTCTTAAGATAGTCAGGAATGCCAGCAAGGACTGTGATATTGATGCTATTATACATCTTGGTACAAATGATCTGTCCCAGAAGGATGTACTTTCTGTTCAGAAAGACTTCTAGAGCTTGGGGTATGAACTTAGTAATATGGGCTGTAGGCTTATCTTTTCAGAGGTTCTACCAGTATACAAGAACAAAAAGGGAAAGGGCAGTCTGTAGCAGAGTTTAATGTGTGGCTAAAGGAGTGGTGTAAAAGGGAAGGCTTTGGTTATATTAGTCATGATGTCTGCAGCTGGTCCAATGAAAAACTGTACAAAAGAGATGGTTTGCATCAGGGGTGGGATTTACTGGTTCTGTCCACCTCTGTAGAACCGGTTGCTCTGAAGAGCAGCAGACATAGAACCGGTTCTATGTCTGCTGCTGTTTTGGCCCACCTGCCCACCTGGGCTCTTACCTGTCCTTTATTTCCTGCTTTTTCAACCTCAGCTGCTTTGTGCGGTACAGCTGCAGTTGAAAAAGCAGGAAAAAAGGGCTTTTCCAACCACTGCGCACCCGCACGCAGCGCTGCTCAGCTGTCCGGGCAGCTCAGCAGGTCGTAAATTGCACTCGCGTGACTTGCACGACTCGCACATGCACGCGTGATGCAGAGCAACAGAACCAGTTTGCATCCATCAAAGAAAGGGACTGAGTTACTTGGCATTAAATTCACTGATTTCCTGGATAAACATTTAAACTGAACAGCAGGGACAGAGAATTCATGGGTTCAGAACATTTCTGTTCCTAGCAACCTAAAACTAATGATACCAATGCATGCAAAATAGATGTTTGTGCAGGTAAGATTATCAACCTTGATGCCAACCAAAACCGAGCATTTAATAGTGAGTGCCATACCATGTGCATTAATCAAACAGGTGGCAAGGAAGTGGGGGCAGGCAGGTACAACACAGGTTATGAAGACAGTAAACACAGTGTCAGACATAAAGATCTCAAGTGCCTCTATACAAATGCACAAAGTCTGGGGAACAAACAAGGTGAACTCGAACTACGAATACATGAAGGTAAATATGATATAGTTGGAATAACAGAAACTTGGTGGGATGAAACCCATGACTGGAACATACTGGTAGAAGGATACAAACTATTAAAAAAAACCAGACCCCATAAAAGAGGAGGTGGAGTTGCACTGTATGTAAAGAACCACTATATTGCTACAGAAATGCATGAAACCAAAGATGAAAACCTCCTAGAATGCATATGGATCAATATAAAAGAAAAAAAGAATGACATGGCCATAGGTGTATATTATAGGACACCCAATCAAGCAGAAAAAATAGATGTCCTTTTTGCCAAACAACTAACAAACATATGCAGGAAACACACAATAGTCATGGGAGACTTCAATTATCCTGATATCAATTGGAAAACTAATTCTGCACCAAGTGAGAAATCAAATAAGTTCCTAACCAACCTAACTGACAACTTTGTTGTCCAAAAGGTACAGGATGGAACTAGAGGGACAGCCATACTGGACTTAATTCTTACAAACAGAGAAGAAGTGATAGAGGGAGTTGAAACTGCAGGAACCTTGGGTGAGAGTGACCATGTCATACTAGAATTCAACATAGCACAAACACAACCAACAGAACATAATGACACCAGAGTCCTGGATTTTAAAAGACCTGATTTCAATAAACTCAGAGAGAACTTGGGAAAGATTCCATGGATGAAAATCCTAAAGGGGAAAACAACTCAAGAATCTGGGGAAACTCTAAAAAGTATGATCATAGAAGCCCAGACCAGCACAATACCACTGAGAAAGAAAAACAAGAAATCCAAGAAGAAACCAGCATGGCTGCACAAAGATCTCTCTGGCAAATTGAAAGAAAAAAAGGACAAGTACAAAAAATGGAAAGAAGGACATACAACTAAGGCAGAATATCAGCAGATAGCCAGAATCTGCAAAGATGAAATCAGGATAGCAAAGGCTCAGAACGAACAAAGACTTGCAACAAAAGTCAAAGATAATAAAAAAAGTTTCTTCCAACATATAAATAACAAGAAAAAAATCAAGGAAACAGTCGGTCCACTAAAGAGAGAAGACGGTGAGGAAGTAACAGGTAACAGAGAAAGCAGAACTGCTTAACTCATTCTTTACATCAGTCTTAACGCAAAAAGAAACTATAGCTCAACCCACCAAAAACATAACTGTAAAAGACAGACAAGAAATAAAAGTTAGAATAAGCAAAAAAATAGTAACAGAACACCTGTCTGATGTTGATGAACACAAATCACCGGGGCCTGATGGATTACATCCCAGAGTTTTAAAGGAGCTGGCAGAGGTCATCTCAGAACCACTGCACCATATCTTTCAAAAATCCTGGAGCACC